ATTTGGGTTATTTTTACTTCCCTCTAATATTTTTATGACCTCTCCAGTTGGGTATCTCCCCACTTCACTTTGCCGCCATGAACGGCCATCTAACGACTTGCGAAGCTCTCCTGCTGGCCGGAATCAGCCGTGATGCACGTACCAAAGTGGACAGGACGCCGCTGCATTTGGCAGCTCAGGAGGGGCATGCCGACATTGTTGAGCTTTTGCTCCGCCATGGAGCAGATCTTGAGGCCAGGGACATGCTCCGTATGTCGGCATTGCATTGGGCAGCAGAACGCGGTCATGCGCCTGTCGTCCAGGTGCTTATTCGCCTTGGTGCGGACCCGCATGCCCAGAACAAATTTGAAATGACACCAGTCGAAATAGCTACCTCAAAGGGTCACACTGATGCCGTATACACAATGCTAGTTAGTTGCATTTTTGCCTTCTCTCTTGCTATTATTTTCTTAACACGATAAGATTTTGGGTTATCTGATTATTTATTTGTAGTAAAAAAATCGTTTTTCATGAGCATCTTCCGATAGCATAACTTCCTCTTGGCATCTTCAAATTTAATGATGCATTAAGCAGAAAATATTTTGTGTATCTTAGCACGATTTTTCCCTCTCTTGTCTAGGGGTTAAAGGATCTTAATTGATTCAATATACCTCCCGGAATTCCGACTACCCATTTATATTGAGGCTTAGCGTAATTGGTTAGCACTCTTAAATCTCTTATTAAAATGCTATAAAAGAACTTTGTAATACAAAATATTTAAGAATTTCACTTATTCGTTATCTGAAAATTTTCCGTTACATAGATTTCTCATCACTTTAGGAGGAAATTAAGAAATAACCTAACAACAACTACCCCCTATTCTGTCCTAAAACTAAACCTTGTGTTTAGAACTCGATTAGAGCTTAGCCTCTAAAGGATTCTAGTAAACTTTATGACTAAAGAAGTCTTATTATAGCCATACCACAATTTAGTCACTGTAAAATGATGTGAAGATTTTCATTTCGTATGAAACCCCATGATTAAGAGACTCGTAGGTCAGTCTCACCATAAGACGCCGGCTTATTCGCTTTGCACTGCAACCGTTTGGCTTTAATGCTAATAAGTCAAGAAGAGTTGGTGTTACTTTGAGGATTTTGCAAAAATTTATTCCAGCTTTGACGATGTTTGTCACTTGACGAACTAAAGTTCAGCCCTTATTCGCCGGAAACGTTGGAGGATGTCTCGTGGACTGCGTTAACTTTAACGTGGTATTAAACAAGACGGCTGCAGTACAACGCGAATCAGCCAGAGTCTTCACATCAAGCTTATCTCAGCAGATTATCCGAAACCCGCACTTTTTCGTATATAAACTGACGGGTACGTTTTTTTTAAGCCAATTCTTTTTCTTGAATCAATCCAATGTTTCTTTACATTCTGTTCTATTCTCGCACCAAGAATACGCAGTTGGACTTGGTATCAGCTAGCACCTCGGTTGGCAGAATGGCAGCTCCACTTGGCTGTGACCTGTCTGATATGGGTGCTGTCTACATCCTAACCGATGAAGAAACACTCGTCCCAGCTGCACCCCCAGCCGATGAAGTTATTGTTACCGCAACCACTGTCGATGATGCGATTGTGACGATCGTTAGCAATGAAGGAGGCGAACAAGGGCGTGCGGCTGCGAAGAATCAAATGGATGAAGAGAGGAAGCAGCTGAGCGAGGAGGTGGGAGAGGCTGCGGCCGTGATCATGAATACCAGTGGACACAGCCGAACTGACGATATGGTAATCGGACTTGAGGCAGAATTGTCAACAACATCACCTAATTCTATCGTGACTAGGCACTCACGTTCTCGAGGCATTGGCAAGGCTGACAGAATGATTCCACTTATTGGAACCGGGTCTGGACGACAGGATATTGGTGCATGTGATCCTGATTGCCTGACAAATGGAAGGACATCAAATCAGGACGATGCGCACCTGAATCAAACCATTTGTTCTGAGGCACAGGTAGAAACGGATCACTCTAATGACTCGGTTTCCTGCGAAAATGGTGAATTTAATGGTCTCTAAGAAATTCCTTTTTATATCATTTTGTCCCCCTTTGTGGAACTACATCTTCCAAATCACACCTACTTAAACAATTTTTTCATAGACTAACTGTGTTTAGAGGCATGCTTAAGGTCCTGTGAATCATGCCTAAGTTTGCATTTCTCTCGATACTCATGCTATCTTTTTATGGTTACGAAACTTGTTTGACCGTTACTTATTTGTCTGTTGAACTTATTTCTATTTCGAGTGAAACTGATTGGTGAAGTGATTCAAAGGTCTATCCCACCAGAAGATTATGACTGCTTACTCTTGACCAGCTGTCAAATAGCTTTACTGGAACATTCTTCTTGACGCTGTTTCCAGTAAAGTCAATCGACTGCTGGTCAAGAGGAATCCACCGTCGTCTTTTGGTGGGATCGATCTTCGAATTGCTTCACTAAACACTTTGACTTGAAATGGAAGTAAGCTCAACAATTATAAAACAAGAAATTCCGCATAGTATTTGTTTCACTTATTCATATTTTATTTCCCCCATCTAGATGACCTGCTTATAGACGGCCTTGAAAAGCCGAATTCACTGACGACAGCAGAGACACGTGGACCTCTATCGATTCAAGGCAACGAGCTAAACAAAAACGTGGTGGGTTTGTGTCTGATTCATGGTTTCTGTAACCTCGTATTCGCAAACTCATCATATATAATTTTATATATCCCAAACTAATTACTTCGCTATTTTGGTGTTTTGATGATAATAACAACGATAATACTTGATTTCTGAACTTTTCGCCTGTAATTACTAAAATGAGAAAGCGTGTAATACAAGTTTTTTTTTATAGAAGTCGTAGATATGAAAACCGAAATGTTGGGGCCTTTCGTTTGGTCGCAGTCTCATCTAGCTTTATAGTGTTGGTCAGACCTTATTTTCGCAACTTGGTCGAAGCGTCAGAGATACCTTGTGTAACATGCTTAGTCCTGTGTCATCTCTCATAATATTCGTGATTTCAGGCTTCAGACCATTGACTTCGTGCATTCCCAAACGTTTCGATGGCATCGTCAGTGAGAGGCGCCATCGTTAGCACAGAGTAAATATGGTTGGAAAGAAAATTCAGCAGAGTCAAAATATGTTGGCTTTCTATAAACATCTCTTCCTAACCTACCCTCTTATCTAATGATGATAACATCCAAAAAAGGTAAGGACTTATTGTCTTCCATTTTCATCGTGAACCTAATGTTCCTTTCACATTGGTTGAGTTAAAGTAGGAAACGATCTATTCTTTCCTTACTATAAGGCTAAATGACAAAATATTCATCTATGTATCTAATCAACAATTTAGGGGTTAGTATTGCCTCTTGCAGGAAGTGTTCCTCCGCTCTTGCCATATAATTGTTCGCCAGGCTGGGAGCCAGACAAGATCCCACGCTAATCCTTGTTTTTGTTCGTATAACTTACCATCTAAGGTAAAATATGTGGTACTCATGGACAGGTTACTAAGTCTAATTATGTAAGCTACACCCAGCCTTTCAGTGTGTCTATCAGAGCTTGAATAGCTCTTTGAACAGGAATGTTTTTAATTTTCTTTTGCTTAATTGAGTCTATTTAAAATGTAAGATAGAGCCGGA